CCAGGATAAAACTCTGCATGCCTTGAATGTGTTTCGAATACATCTGCACCATCAACTCAATTTTTATTTGAGTGCTTACACGTGTGAGCAACAGAACTTGCAGAGGTGCACACAGATGCGGTTCCATAGTGTGAACAATAAACCCGGAATGCGTGAGTGAGATTAATCATAGAATCATAGAATTATAGAGTTGGAAGAGACCACAAGGGCCATCCAGTCCAACCCTCTGCCATGCAGAAACTCCCAATCAAAGCATCCCCAACAGATGGCAAATGGATGCACAAAAAAACAACAACCCGTTCTTTCTGAATGACCCCTAGGTCTATCTCCCTTCCCCCCTCTCCAACCCCATTTTTTTTTCTCTCTAGGAGCACTTCACAGAAAGGTTCCCCCCCCCCCCCCCCCCCCCCCCCCCCCCGCATCCCTTTTGCTAGCAGAGCTCTCAATGGAAGCTGGCAAGACCCCAATGAGGAGGCAGTGTTGGAAAGCAGGAGACAAAGCAGCAGTGGACATTTTAAAAATCCACCTGGACAGAAATTTTAGCTGTGAAAAAGAGGACATGTTTGGGAAAAGTAACTCTAGACTTAAAATACAGTACAATCCCTGCATCTGTGGGATCAGTACCCACAGTTTCATTTATTCATATCTGAAAAAAATATATTCTCGCTAGGCATTTTCTAGGTCCTCCAGCATGATTCTATGCTATGCTTCCAGTCGAAGTTGATCATAGTCACACTGGATTATGTAGACATGCCTAGATAGCTGTTCTCTCTAGGATTCTCTAGGTCAGGATTAGGCAACCTTTTTGAGCCAGGGGCCGGGTTGCTGTCCCTCAGACAATTGGGGGGCCGAAGCACCAAACATAAATAAGTAAATAAATATAAAAATATATATATTTTAAAAAATATTTTTTTAAAAAAATATGTATGCACACGCTCTAAGCCCCAGAAAAGCCATGGCAAAACCCCTGTGGAGATTTTGCCAAGAAAACCCCAAGAATAAGTAATAACAACAATAATCAATATCATCATGGCGGGAGGCGGCAGCGGCAGGACCAGCCTGAGGCCGGTCCAAAGGCCTCGGAGGGCCGCATCTGGCCCCCGGGCCTTAGGTTGCCTACCCCTGCTCTAAGTCCTCCAGTGCAATTGTATGGTCAATTTCCACTGATAGTCATTCATTTCAATAGGGTTCACTATTATCCATAGTTTTGCGTTTCTGTGGTAAGCCTGGGAGCGTATTCCCTGTAGATTCAATGGATGTA